CACTACAAAAGCTTCCCTTTATTGAGCTCTTGCTGTTGCCAAAGACTGTACCTTTCCCATTATACACATCATCGCGTGCACTTTTCACAACAGTCCTACGAGGACACTCGTGTCACATTTTATTGATGACATGACTCTGGCTTACAGTAGTAGATAACACCTTGCTCAAGGAAAAGGAAGTATTTGAACCATGACTCAAGCCAAAGACAGTTTGTCTATAAAACCTGTGCTCATCAACAGTATTCTATTTACATTCCAGCACCTTGGAACCTGCTATAGTCTCAAAGAATTATTATCCTTTCTATTGGATGATTCTAACTAGAAAAATATTTCTCCTCTTCTGCTGAAATTTGCCTTCTCATAACCAACCCTACCCTCACTCCCAACATATACATACATCAGCGCTCGCTCTGTCTTTTGGGGCCGCAAGAAACAAGCCAGGTCCTGCTTCTCCAGGATTTATACATGGTAATCATGTCCCTCTCAATCTTGGCTTTTTCAATTACAGAATAAACAGGCAGAGGTCTGCCTTCCTTCCTCCTACAAGATATTTTCCAGACCTTCCATTGCCTGATCACTTCCTATAAAGATAAGAATCTACTTGTGCATTTTTAAGAGTCTCTATAGAATAAGTTGTTCATTCTGAAACTTTAAAAGCCCTACTGTCAGAACATGATTCTTCATGTCTAACTGAAATATCTCAAACTGCAATCTAAAGTAGTTTTCCCTAGCTCTATCCTCAAAGGAGACATTAACCAGTCAGTTGTCTGCATGACAATATTTTACATTCTTAAAGGTTATTATTTGCTCCCTATATTTTTTTCTCTCTAGTGTAAATATTTCCAGTTCTAGTAAATGTATCTTTGTAAGGTTTGTCTCCTTACCCATCAGTGATTTCTGTAGCTCCTCTTTGATCTAGATCCAAGCTGCTGCTGAGTTTAGGACTGGATTCAATGAAGAGGTCAAACTCAAACTGAAGCTAAGGGAGGCTATTGGCCTGGACTCAAGCTAGCTTTTACTCCTAGGAATGCAACAAAATAGCAGCTACTTTTTAATCTGTGCCTACTATAGCCTGGACATTGTGATAGGTGTTTTAAGTAAAGAAAGCTAATCCATAATTTCTTCTGGAAGGGTTTTGACCCCCATTTTACAAATGAGGTCATTTGAGGTCAAATGAGGTTTAGAGAGGATAAATAGCTTGCCAAACTCACAGAGCTAGTGAGTGGCGTTTGAACCCAGGTGCCTCTAATTCCAAAGCCTAGGCATTTTCCACCACACTGAAGATATAATGGGTCTTTCCCAAAGTACAAAAACATCCACCTGCCCTCAGACCACCAGGAGCCAATGGGAAATACACAACCCTCAAGAATTACATTTCCTTTCTCCAAACAATGCAGCGTTTGGCTGTGCCAGTGGACGTCTCTTACACACACAGTGAAAAATCCTCACTCAACCCATACTCTGGTCATTATTACTCTAGACTCATTGCCTTGGAGTCTCAACCAGCAACTCTCACAGCTTTTTAGATGGAAATTTAAGTCCTTTAGCAACACACACAAAAGTGTTGGGTAAAAGTCCAAAAGCATTTCAAACTTGGCCCATGGCTCTTTCTCATAAAAAAAAAAAAGAGCTAAGAATTGAGGGGAAGAGGGCGGGAAGGAAAGACTTTGTGCAGGCAAAGAGAGTTAAAGCAATTGCAATAGAGTATGCGATCAATAAATATTTGTCCAGTAAACAAATAAGATGAGCTATGCTCATTTGAGAGAAGAGAAGTTGCCAATTTATCCTCTTCATAATAATTTTCATTCAGTGGGCTTGCCTACATCACAGATCCCCAAATTCTTATTTAGGAAACTAATTTGAATAAGAAAGCATACTCAGAAGAAGCTTTTTGTTTCTTTTTTTTCCCCCCTAACCAGGGAGTAGGTGCCCTAAGTAGATGTTACATGGATAGTTGGTAAAATATCAAATATGACTATAATTAGGGTGTGGTATGGATAGGAAGTTCTTGATTAAATGCACAGCCGGTGCTTTCTAGGTTCCCAGAGCCCTGGTCAGTCCTACAGAATGTTTCTAGGTTCAATTTTCTCTGCCACAAGCCCTCTCCAGATTTTGCAAAGACTTTCTGTCGTCAGGAAAGAGGTGATCACTTGGGATCATGTTGAGACATTCTGTCATCGGGATAAGATCTTCCTGGAAGAAAAAGAATTGGGAAACCTCTTATAGGATAAACAATCTAAATACCACATCTAATTAACATAAACAGCTAACTTAGAATGTGCAAGTGTGAGAACAGCATGGGCATAGGAAACTATCAATTTGTGAAATGACTAATTAAAAAACAAGTAGCTCTCAATTGTTTTCTTGAACTACATTCAGATGTATTTCCTAATTCAAGAAGACTATAAATGACTTCATACCGTGTATAGATCGTTCTCACATGAATCCAAGGCATATTTTCATCAATATTATCACCACCTAAAGTTTAACCATGTGTTTCTATCTTTACTCAATAATTTCTCAACTGCCTTTGACAACTCCCTGTGCTGTAAACCTTGACAGTGCTGTTTTTTTTTCTTCTAATGCAAGTGGCTGACTTAAACTTGGATTGCAGAGGCATCCACTTCAAAGATGGCTCTCTGGAATAAACACATTGCCAGCCACAAACTAGATAAAGAGCCAGGCTACCTCCCCACACTGAGGCTTGTTTGTTTTAGAGATCTTGATTAATTTCAATAACCGACCCTTTGGGCTACTTGTTTTTTTCTCTTCCCACTTTTTAAATTCCAGCTCTTATGTTTTAAATTCCCCAATAAAGAGTGTGCCTGTGAAACCCTAGGCCACCACCCTCAACCCCAATAAAAGCAGAACCCCAGGCCCATGCTCTCTCTCTCTCTACTCATGACCTTGCTCTTTGGCCCCAGGTGTGCCTTGCAATTTCCACATCCTGTAAGTAATAAATCTTTTTTGTTTTTTCCAAAGTTTCCGGATGGTTATTGCTGAAGGGCGTCTTGCAATCATAATAAGAACCACAAGGGCTGGTCCAGCCACAACATTGGTTATTGATAAGCTGAGACCAGCTCACAACACTCCCCTTTCCTCTGCTACTTAATTGTGCACTCAGGTGAATAGCCATAAGACAACTTAACAATGTTAAGAACTGCTTCGCAGTAGCATATTCTCCTCCATACTCTGTATCTAATCTTTTTCATTCTTTAACGATCACTTTAAATTCCATTCTTTGCAACACTCTGTGTCCTATGACTCTTTTGACAATTCCTTTTATATCTTTCAAACTCTGTAAGCACTTATATTTTAAACCACAAAATAAATAATTTGCATTCTTTCTTGCTTTGTTCCTTAAATATTGAATGGATGATTCCATTTTCTTCTTAATTCTATTGTTAAGCTCTCTGAGGGTAGGCACTTGGTCTTATAATTATTTCTACCATCCAAAGTGGAAAACTTAATGTATTAGTCTGCTTGGGCTGCCATAACAAAATACCACAGACAGGGTGGCTTAAACAACAGAAATTTATTTTCTCACAATTTTAGAGGCTGGAAGGCCTGGATCAAAGTGCTGAGAATTCAGTTCTGGTAAGGTGTCTCTCTTCTTGGCTTGCAGATGGCCACCTTCTCACTGTGTCCTCACGTGGCCTTTCCTCTGGGCACAAGCAGAAAAAGAGAGAAAGAGAGAGATCTCTGGTGTCTTTTGCTCTTCTTACAAGGACACCAATACTATCAGATTAGGACCCCGCCCTTATGACCTCATTTTACTGTAATTATCTCCCTAAAGTCCCTGTCTCCAAATACAGTCACAGTGGGAGTTAGGGCTTCAACATATGAATTTGGGTGGAGGAGAGGACATGATTGAGTTCATAACACTCAGTAAGAATAAGATAAGTACATGTTGATTGGAGAAGACATCAAAGGCTCATGGACATCCTTTCTGAGCTGTCTCTTGCCCTGAATCATAGTTTGGACAACTGGGTCAGGAACACTCTGTCAGGCTCTTCTAAAAACTTGACCTTTTAAGGTTTTGGAAATAAATCAAGGAGAAAAGAATTTGAGGTTCAGAGAGTCAGAATACTATTCCAACAGCCACATAACTAGTAAGAAGCTCAGCTGGAATTAAAACTCAGTTTGCCTTCTGGAGTCCTTCATTTTAACCCTGCCTCCCACAGCAGAGAAGAACTGGCAGATGGTGTTAAACTTGAATTGGAGGGTCGATAATAAGAGGTAGGAGTTATTGAACATCTACTGGGACTATGGCCTTCATGTCGCTATGATGGCTCACTCAGTGCTAGTGAATATTGAAGAGATTCATGAATATATGGTTTCTACTTAATGTTTTCGTTTACATCATTATTTTAACCCTGACATTAGCCATTATGATCTTCACTGTATGGAAGTGAAATAAGACCAATAAAAGATCTTATCCAAAGGCTAGAGCTGAGATCTAAACTCATGTCTGTTCTGTCTTATTCCAAAGTTTTGACCTTTCCCCTGTACCCTGTTGTCTCCCTAAATTTCCAGAAGTTGAATAGAGAGTGGAAGCTTTCCTTTAAGATTGGAAAATTATTTTAGAGACCATTTTATATCAATACTACAGTGAATATTGAAGGAATATCAGAAGAGCTTCAAACACAGGAAATATAAAGTCAAAATTCACTTGAGGGCTGGCCTGGTGGCGTAGTGGTTAGATGCGCACGCTCTGCTGCAGCAGCCCGGGGTTCGCAGGTTCGGATCCCGGGCATGCACCAACGCACTGCTTGTCAAGCCACGCTGTGGCAGTGTCCCATATAAAGTAGAGGAAGATGGGCACGAATGTTAGCCCAGGGCCGATCTTCCTCAGCAAAAAGAGGAGAATTGGCAACAGATGTTAGCTCAGGGCTGGTCTTCCTCACACACAAAAAAATTTACTTGGAATTGCAGATATTCAATAGATTCAATTAGCAGTAGATACTAACAAGCTTGTTATTTTCTTTGTTTACTTGTAGAAGAGAATTCCTTTAAGAAGATCAGAAACGACTGATTTGGATTCTACTCTGTGCTTCGAAATACCCAATTCTACCTGAGAGTGAGACACCCAAGGACCATAGAATCCCAGAAACATCCAGCCAAACCCACCTCCACCATGGGGGCCACGACTCGGCTGTTGGCAGGTGTCTTCCTATCTTTACTTGCCGTCTCTACTGAAGGCGGGGTCCTCAAGAAAGTCATCCGGCACAAGCGACAGAGTGTGGTGAACATCACCCAGCCAGAGGAAAACCAGCCAATGGTGTTTAACCATGTCTACAACATCAAGCTGCCCGTAGGGTCCCAGTGCTCGGTGGATCTGGAATCAGCCAATGGGGAGAAAGACCTGGCCCCACTGTCGGAGCCCAGCGAAAGCTTCCAGGAGCAAACAGTGGATGGAAACAACCAGATCGTCTTCACACACCGCATCAACATCCCCCGCCGGGCCTGCGGTTGCGCGGCTGCTCCAGACGTCAAGGAGCTCCTGAGCAGATTGGAGGAGCTGGAGAACCTGGTGTCATCCCTGCGGGAGCAGTGTACCACGGGAGCAGGCTGCTGTCTCCAGCCGGCCGAAGGTACAAGCTGGTGACTGGCCCAGCCCCTCATTCGACAAATGGGAGAAATGATGAGCATGGCAGGATCCATCAGTGGTTCCCAAAGTGGATTCCCTGGGGAACTAGCCTCACAAAGTCTTCACTAAAGAGATTTTATGGTCAAATAAATGTGGAGAATACAATCATCTCTGTTCTGCTCTTGGTGATAAATGTTTCTCAGAGGAACTTTCAGGCCTCTGAGAAGTTTTGCTTCGAAAAACCCTATTTCACTTAAATTACTGGTTTCTAAGACTCATTTGACCATGAAATCTACCCATTGTCTACCCCAAAACCTGTGAACATATTATGAAATTCTTGACCCAAAGATTGCTCTCTGAAAGGTACTGATATGGCCCCCTCACCTCCTTGTACAGATAGGGAAACGAAGGCCCAGAAAGAGGATGGGATCCCTCAAGGTCTTGCAATAAGTGGCCAAGTTAGGACTTAAACCACAGTATTCCACACCCCGGGGTTCTTACAAATGTACAGTGCTGCCCATGGTGGTGCACATTCTGTGGGAATTGGAAAAAAAAAAGTTTCAGTTTGATGGCAACAACAATGATGATCATAACTATGAATTGAGCCAACTTTATGTACCAGGCACTGTTTTCATCATCTCATTTAATCCTCCAATAACCTTTGAGATAAGGTTGAATGCTCCCATTCTATAGATCTCAGAACTGAGACTCACAGAAGTTAACCAAATGGCACAAGATGACACAACGAGTAATAAGAGATAGAAGCTTTGAATGCGCCTGTGTGTCTCCAGAACTCACACTCTCCCAGTTATACCTATTCACGTCCTTTTCTAAGGAATTTTGCCACTTTGAAATTATGTCTTCATCTCCACTCCCTAAAGTTGATAAAACTACAGAAGTTTCAACAGCTGCAAATCAGAGATGAAAATCTCTATTTATGCCACTCAAAAAAAATTACTGGGAAGTACTTGGACAATTTATTTCAAGAGTAGACATAATCACGGTTAAGTGGAAAGTACTATGGGGTACACTCTAGGGTTCTAAGGCAAAATAAAAAAGTTTTCTTTATGCATAAATTAGTTTGTCTTCCACCCTGTCAACTTCCTGGCAAAGTGCAGGTGGGAGTTACACAATAGAATTAGCACTAAATAGTGAGTGGAAAAAATTGCTTAAGGCAGTGCTAGCCAATAGAAATATAATATGAGCCATATATGTAATCTTAGATTTTCCAGTAGTCACATTAAAGAAATGAAAAAGAAACAGGTAACAATAATTTTAATCATCTATTTTATTTAACTCAATATAGCCAAATTATCCATTTTTCAGCCTGGGATCAATATAAAAATTATTAATGGATATTTTACATTCTTTTCTTTTACACTAAGTCTTTGAAATCTGCTGTGAATTTTACACTCACAGCACGTCTTAATTCAGATGAGCCACAATTCAATTGTTTGATGGCCACATGTGTCCAGTGGTCACCATACTACACAGCACAGGTTTAGAGTCTCACTTTTCAAACTTTTATTCTTAATTGCCTTCCTTCCTGCTGTCAGGAAGGAAATAAAATACAGTAATGCAACTGGGTCTAGGTGCAGAAAAATGGAAGTGAGTTTTGTTTCTTCTCCTTGGGATCCATGGAGATCACTCCAGTTACACCTGCAAGTTAAGTGACGACATGATATAGACCTCAAAGAATGAAATTATGCCAGCTCTGACCACGTATTCCTCAGATTCACTCACCACTATAGCCTTCGGGAAAGAGAGGGGAGAAAGATAGAGGCACAGGAGTTTTGTGGGGGCAGAGCCAAAAGTGGTCCTGACAGAATTAGAAAGCTGCCTCATTTCTGTGGTGGAAAATTAGAAAGTTTGGTCACGTAAACCCGTCTACCAACTTGAGTCCACCCAAAAAACTCTGGAAGAGAAAATAAGAATAAACACAGCAGTAGGTTCTTAGTGTCCTCATTTAACCCTAATATACCCTGGGGAAGTGGGCTCTTAGTCCCACTTGATCAATGAAGAAACTGAGCTCCAGAGAGTCTAAATCCCTTCTCAAATCCAGCACAGCTTTGAGTCAAAGAGTCAGAATTGAGTTCAGTTCAACGATGATTTCTTGTGTGAAACAATTGTTCTCTAATGTGTCCGACCTTGGCTAGTTACAGGAGAAGTAGTAACATAGCCCAGCACACTGCATTCCACAAGGCAGTGAATCAGAATCGCTGGCATCATGAGACTACTTGAAAATTTGATAAAAACTGTAGATCCTCTCCCCATGGGTGGAAACACACACACACACACACACACACACACAGAACTGCACACATAAACACACTATGTTTGCATATGAGTCTACAATTTCAGAGATCACAGGTTAAGAATTCCTATCTAGTGTGATTGGATGGGGGGGTCCCATCTGATTTCACACACTAAGCAACTAGTTTTCAAGCCAGATGGGATCTGAGGGTGCAACCATGCTCTGGCTGAATTTGAATCTGGGTTTCGCGGGTAGAAATTGAGAAATTGAAAATTGAGCTGAGCGCATCTGTTCTCTTTCTTGCAGGCCGCCTGGACACCAGGCCCTTCTGCAGCGGCCGGGGGAACTTCAGCACCGAAGGATGTGGTTGTGTTTGTGAACCTGGCTGGAAAGGCCCCAACTGCTCTGAGCCCGACTGTCCAGGCAACTGTCACCTGCGAGGGCAGTGCCTCGACGGGCAGTGCATCTGCGATGAGGGCTTCACAGGGGAGGACTGCAGCCAGCTGGCTTGTCCCAGCGACTGCAATGACCAGGGCAAGTGCGTGAACGGGGTCTGCGTCTGTTTCGAAGGCTACGCCGGGGCCGACTGCAGCCAGGAGGTCTGCCCGGTGCCCTGCAGCGAGGAGCATGGCAGGTGTGTGGAGGGCCGCTGTGTGTGCCGAGATGGCTTTGCCGGTGATGACTGCAACGAGCCCCTGTGCCTCAACAACTGCAACAACCGTGGGCGGTGCGTGGACAACGAGTGTGTGTGTGACGACGGCTTCACGGGTGAAGACTGCGGCGAGCTCGTCTGCCCCAACGACTGTTTCGACCGGGGCCGCTGTGTCAACGGCACGTGCTTCTGCGAAGAAGGCTTCACGGGGGAGGACTGCAGTCAACCCACCTGCCCCAACGCCTGCCACGGTCAGGGCCGGTGCGAGGAGGGCCAGTGCGTGTGCGACGAAGGCTTCGCCGCCGTGGACTGCAGCGAGAAGAGGTGTCCTGCTGATTGTCACAACCACGGCCGCTGCGTTGATGGGCAGTGTGAGTGTGACGATGGCTACACGGGAGCTGACTGTGGAGAACTCAAGTGTCCCAATGGCTGTAGTGGCCACGGCCGCTGTGTCAACGGGCAGTGCGTGTGCGACGAGGGCTACACTGGGGAGGACTGCGGCCAGCTGCGGTGTCCCAATGACTGCAACAGTCGCGGCCGCTGCGTCCAGGGGAAGTGTGTGTGCGAACAAGGCTTCCAGGGCTACGACTGCAGTGAAATGACCTGTCCCCATGACTGCCACCAGCACGGCCGCTGCGTGAATGGCATGTGTGTCTGTGATGATGGCTACACAGGCGAGGACTGCCGGGAGCTGCGATGCCCTGGGGATTGCAGCAACCGGGGCCGCTGTGTGGACGGGCAGTGCGTGTGCGAGGATGGCTTCACCGGCCCCGACTGTGCAGAACTCTCCTGCCCCAGTGACTGCCATGGCCAGGGCCGCTGTGTGAACGGGCAGTGCGTGTGCCACGAAGGCTTCATGGGCAAAGACTGCAAGGAGCGGAGCTGTCCTGACGACTGTCATGGCCGGGGCCGCTGCATGGACGGCCAGTGCGTCTGCCAGGAGGGCTTCACGGGTCCAGACTGCGGGCAGCGCTCCTGCCCCAATGACTGTAGTAACTGGGGGCAGTGCGTCGCCGGCCGCTGCATCTGCAGTGAGGGCTACACCGGGGAAGACTGCTCGGAGGGTGAGTAAAGTGCAAACACTAGCCCGATCACGGCCACGATAGAGTGGACACCCAGTGTGTGTTGGAGAACTCTGCATTAAATTAAACACATGCGCGTGCGCGCGCGCGCGCGCGCACACACACACACACACACACACACACACACTGACTCTTTAAGGGGCCCTGGGCATTCACCTGTTACAGGGCTACCTATTTGAGGGCTCAGAGGCTCAGAGAGCTTATGGAATTGTCCCAAGGACACACAGCTAATACATCACAGAGCTAGTATTTGAGTCTGCCTAACTCGTCTACACTGAGTTGAACACCCAGTGCCCAAGATGAGGTAGATGATGTAATAACCTCCCTTTTGCTAGATGTCAACCTTCTTTCCTATTCCCCATTGACTTCAAACCAATAATAAGCTAAATCCCTCTACTTGGATAGAAGTAAAATTTCCGCTAAATTGAATGGACAGTGAGATTACATAAAACACACAGTTTTAAATGCACATTCAGCAAAAGACTAAATACGGATCACCTCTGAGGGAGACCCGTCTCTTAAATCATCTTTTCGTTACTGTCTTTGACCCCAAGGATTGTGAGCTCCTTGAAGGGGCATTATCCCGACAGTTAGCACAGGGCATTGTATGAAGTCTAAGTGCTCATTAAACGTTGGATGAATGAAAACACAACAAAGACCCATGATGCTCATGCTTAATGAGGGTCTTCTTTGTCCTTCTTCTCTTATCCATCCATGTTGTACTTGTCGTGATGGGGAATTCCTGCCTTGATTAAAGGTACTGGAAGATAAGAATGAATAAATGGCTCTATGTTTAATGTGACCAAGGCAGAGAAGACTTGGAAATGACCCCAGACTGGCAGGGAGGAGAGGCAAGTCCCAAATTTGATGAGATGAAGTTGGGCAAGTCCCTCTGCAGCACCCACATTTGGAAAATGAAAGAGTTGGACCAGATGAGCCCCAAATACCCCTCCAGCGCTAGGGACGTGTGACTTGAACTCAGAGCATGGAGCCACGCTCAGGCTGCACTTTCTCATGCAAATGGCCTGCATCTGAACTGAGGTCCAAGGAGTGGAGAAGTTGGAGGGGCCAGGTCACAAAGAACCCTGAAGGCCACACTGCAGACCCGGAACTTTAGCCTGAAGGCAGTGGCCAGCCACCAAAGTTTCCAAGATGGGTCACAGCTGGGGATCCTTGATGATATCTGCATTTTAGAAAATGGAAGCTGGATTTCAGTCCTCAGTGACTGGCAGTCACTGGAAGAGACAGGTCAAGGGAAACAAACCTAGAGAGAATGTGTGGGGAACATAATTGACCTGTCCTTTCTTATTCCTGCCAGTGTCCCCTCCCAAAGACCTCATCGTGACAGAAGTGACAGAAGAGACCGTAAACCTGGCCTGGGACAATGAGATGCGGGTCACGGAGTACCTCGTCCTGTACACACCCACCCATGAGGGCGGCCTGGAAATGCAATTCCGTGTCCCCGGAAACCAGACGTCCACCATCATCCGGGAGTTGGAGCCTGGCGTGGAGTATTTTATCCGTGTGTTCGCCATCCTGGAGAACAAGAAGAGCATCCCCGTCAGCGCCAGGGTGGCCACTTGTGAGTGAGCAGAACCCCCTTGGCAGCCTCAATTGCCCTCTGTTTGCCCAGGGCATAACCCGCCCCCATGAGTTACTGCCTCACCCTTGCCCCCATAGCTCTGCAGCTGTCCTTTTATAGTTACGCTAAATAGGAGCCTGGAATCCAGTTAAGCCCACTGAATACTTTTTTAAAGAAACTTCGTTTTCTACAAAATCTCCCTCCTGGCTCTCTTATCTCCTTCCTGCCACAGAGAATCATTACAGCCAACACTTAAGTGTTTACTATGCACCAGACTTTGTTTGAAGCACTCTGCATATCATAACCCATGTCACTCGCAATAATCCTTTGAGATAGGAGCTATTGTTAACCCATTTTACAGATAAGAAAACTGAGACTCTGAATGGCTAAGCATCTCATCTCAAAACACACAGTTAATAAGGGGTAGAGATGAGATTTGAACCCTGGTGGTCTGGGTGCAGATTTATGCTCCTAACTCTACTCCTACCTTTCTATGGAGCTCACTGACTATATATAGATATTATTTTTTTAAAGTAGAAACATTAGGGATAAAGTCATTCCTTTGAGAGTCCAATATCAGTACCATTACTCCCACACCTGAAAAGCAAGTTGTGGCTAGCAATTGGTCCTTTTTTGCTTAGTAACAGTAACATTGGCTGCCATTTATTAAACTTGTGCTTGATGCCAAGAAACATGGCGAGCAGTCTATATGGGCTGTATTACTCAGTCCTCAAAACATTCTCAAGGGGCAGACATACTTACCTTCTTCTCCCATGTGAAGAAACTGAGGCTCAGAGCAATTTGTACAACTTGCCCAAGCACAGAAAAGTTGTGATGGTGCTTAGATTCTAGCCCATGTCTGTCTGATTCTAAAGACTGTGCTCATATTAGGTTTAACTGTATGAAATTGCCAATATTTAATCCCATGGTTGGTCCTAATATTAATTTTCATACTGCCTCGCAGTAGACAGCATCCCAGAAGAACCCTTAAACAGACTCCAGCTCTGATGACCAACCCCTGACTGTGGCAGGCTTCTGCCCCTGGGGTTTAGTGGAATCGTGGCTGTGTTGCCCCGCCACACATGTGGCCATCTTTACCTCCTCTCTGTGCTCTTCCTGACAGACTTGCCTGCACCTGAAGGCCTCAAGTTCAAGTCGATCAAGGAGACATCTGTGGAGGTGGAGTGGGATCCTCTGGACATCGCTTTCGAAACGTGGGAGATCATCTTTCGCAATATGGTAAGGAGCACAGAGGAGCCGGCATATTTGACTGAGAGGATCTGAAAGATGGTCAAAGGGCTCTGTAGACGTATATCAACTTTATTTCCTTAGCTTTTGGTGGGGGATAAGGCTTTAATTAGCACCCTGTGTGTTTGCATATATATTTTAAGTGATTTTAATAAGTCAATAAGCGTAGCACTTAAGGCTGGGACCTAGACAAATAGATGTTATCTCTAGGTTCTGATTGCCCCTCATAGTCTTGCAAATCTCCACTCAGAGGCAAAGAAGAGAAAAAATTGTCTCCGTGTCAGAATGCCTCCCGGCATATCTGAGATTGAGTATCCCTTCTCTCTGGGCCTAAAAGCACATGTGAGGCAGGGAAGTGGGCTCCTGAGCTCAAACCAAGGCTCTGCCACTAACTGTGTGACTGTGGGACAATCACCCGACTTCTGGCTTCTTAGTCTATCAGAGAAGGGACTGAGCCTGTGGCTCCAGGATTGCTTTGGCTCTCACCTTCTGTCACTTGACTTGAGTGTCAAAGGAGTGAGTAGAGAGGGTTACGAGAACTTGAGAGATGTCTTTATCATCTCTGTATCCTCAGCACCTACCATACTGACCAGATGCCCTGTAGATGCCTGGTGAATAGATGAAAGAGAAAGAGGAATGAATGAATGTGGAATGAATGAGTCACACAAATGAAGAGGCTTTCATCTCCTTTAGGTCTTACCAAGGTGCTCTTATCTTTCAGAATAAAGAAGATGAGGGAGAGATCACCAAAAGCCTGAGGAGACCAGAGACCACCTACCGGCAAACTGGCCTAGCTCCTGGGCAAGAGTATGAGATCTCTCTGCACATCGTGAAGAACAATACCCGGGGCCCAGGCCTGAAGAGGGTGACAACCACCCGTGAGTATCACTATTAATGCCACTGATACAATGGTAAAGCCGAGTGTCCCTCATAGCACCTCTTGTTGATAACATGCCCTCTCATATAGCATCTGGATCAATTAGCCTTTGCTACATAAAAAAACAAGCCCCAAACTTAGTGGCTTAAAACAATAATTCTGCACAGTGATGATTTGTGGTAAGGGTCAGGGGGTCAATTTTTCTGTTGTTGACTGGGGTCACTTAGGCATCTGTGTGGCCTGCAGGCCGGTTGACCTAGGATGGCCTCAACCAGGATGGTACCTTTCTGCTCCATGTGGTCTCTCAGCCTCCAAGCTGCTAGCCTGGACCTGCTCACGTGGCAGGTGAGCAGGTTCGAAACTAGCACTATATTACTTTTGTTGAAGCAGATCTCAAGGCCGGTCCAGATTGGAGTGGTGGGTAAACACTCCTTAAACACCTCCATCTCTTGATGAGAGGAACTTCCAAGTGACATTTCAAAGGGGCACAGACACAGCAAGATAAATAATTGAGACCATTGTAAGCAATCTACAACATCCTCTAATCTGATATTAACACTCAGTCCTGTGAAAAATGTAGGGCAAATATTAAAGTTATTATTTTCCAAAAGTAGAAACGGAGGCTTAGAGAAGCTACATCAATTTAAGAAACACCACCTGATTAATACCATCAGGGCCACAATTTTAAGGCAGGGAACGGTTTTATAACTTGAACACCATTACCACCAGCAATGACTAGGCTCTGGTTTATGTAGGATGTTGATTCCATGTCTTCAACAGGAACCTAAATAAAAGGTCACTCAATACTAAAGATGTCAGAATTTCTTGGGGGTACTACTAGATCATTTGGGATCATTTGCATTGCCGTTTGGGAAAACCTCTGTATCTTCTTCAAGATAGCATATGTGCCAGCTGCTTAAGGAATTGACTCTTCTGGGTGGAGGGTTGTTGGAAAAGTTAAATCTGTTGACCAATGACAAGAAAGAACATCTTGCATGTAAATGTTTGCACATTTTGCCTAGCTCAGAGCCAATTCATAGGATTGTCTCCTTTATGAGTGAGTGTTTTCCACCATCCTGACAACACCCCTCTGTGGTAGGTAGAAGGCAGGTACCAACAGGAAAAAATCGTTAGATCACCAGAAAGTCATAGAAAACATGAAGCAGGTGCTTATCTGCTACAGAGGAGGCTCACTGAGAAAACAAAAGACGTTTCTTTCATCTGCCCTTTTCATTTTCATCTAAATGTAGGGATCGGCTCCTTACTTTCTTCTTATTGCAGGACAGACATCCCAACATTTGAAGTTCCATAATCACATAAATATCAACACCGAGAGGCAGATATTTACCTGTTCATTTTGCTGATACCTGAACTCTTTCCAGATTTAAAGGACTTTAAAGCTTTGGTGCCAAAACATTCTGGCTCCTTCCCTTTGGTCTCTGTATAGAGGTTGCATTCCAACCATTTTTGGCACATGACTGTTTTTGAGAGGCATCCCCATTTAAAGGACGAAGAGCATGGGCTTTGGACCTAAACAGTCCTGAGTTTGAATTCCAGCTTCATCCCTTACCATCACCTGGAGCAGGTCTACTTCTCTAAGCCTCAGACCTACCACCCGAAAAATGGGTTGATAGTATCCACCTTGTGGGCTCTCATGGGAGTTAAAACAAAAATGACAAGGCGCCATGCTTGGCACGTGGTGAGCACAAGGCAATGTTAGTCTCCTCTATTCAAGGGTCCCAAATCTAGAGGAGAGATCCGTGTCCTTGACTGACTCCCGACTTCTTTAATGAAACGGCTGCTGATGACGGAAGTAGGTATAGTTTGGGTGCTTTCTAGCACCTAGAGGAACACAGGACAGGTGGCTTCACTGTTGACTTGTAGCATCATTTTCATTGTGCATTTTGTGGGTTCATCATTTGTGAGCTGAAACTCATATATGAACACCTAGAATTAAAAAAATAGGCTCTGCAGTTTCTCACAATCAGCTGTAAATTATTCCTCCTCCTCATTTTCTGTACAAAACCAAGTTCCTTTCATTTGATAGTGTTTCCTCAAGCAATGCTGAAAACACACACTTAACTATTTTTAAAAATGAAAAGCAAAACATTGACTGAACGTCTAGTAAGTCTTCATTTTAGGCATTTACTGAATACCTGGCTTGTTTTAATGTTTGCATTAAAATTGTTTGCATAATTAAAAAAAAATAGAGTTGAGACATAAATGACAAAGCCTGACTCTATGCTGAGGATTAAGAAAGGTCAGAGACCCCCTCTCTGAATGAATGAGTGACCCCATCTAAATTGAATAATACAGTTTGACTAAACAGTAGAGAAATCTGTTGAAGAACAGTAGAAAAGTACAATATTAGGATACTCTTATTTTTAATTGTGGTAAGAACACTTAGCATGAGATCTGCCCTCTTAATGAGCTTTTAAGTGTACAATGCAATATTGTTAACTATAGGCACAATGTCGTACAGCAGATCTCTAGAACTTAATCATCTCGTATAACTGAAACTTTATACCGATCAGAGAGAGAGTATGTGTTTACCTGATTGCAACAGAGTCAAAAAGTCTTCTTGTTAGGAAGTGACATGTAAATGAGATTTTTAAGGATGAGTAGGAGATTTTTAGAGGGGACAGGGGCATCCTCTGGAAGAAGAAACAAAGGGACAGCAAGTGCAGAGGCCAGGAGGTGAGAAGCAGCGTGATGTGGTCTCAGAGCCCTGAGGACCCTGCTGTCAGAGCACAAAATAAAAGGGGGGATGGGCAGGAGGTGAGTAATGGGGCAAAAGGAAGGTCGAGATGAGGATACAAAGATAGGCAAGGCTGGAGACAGCCATGACTTTCTTGCCTAGATTCTTTTCATCAAAACTAACTTTCCATACACTGCAAAACAGTCCTTGCCTCACTTTTCGGCTCCATAATTCTGATGGAGAAGTTACCAACCATCCAGGGAGTTTTGCCTAATTAAAAAACCAGAGAAGGGCTGGCCTAGTGGCATAGTGGTTAAGTTTGCGTGCTCTGCTTCGGCGGCCCGGGGTTCTCTGGTTCGGATCCCGGACACGGACCTACGTGCCACTTATCAGGCCATGCTGTGGCAGGCGTCCCACATATAAAGTAGAGGAAGATGGGCATGGATGTTAGCCCAGGGCCAGTCATCCTCAATAAAAAGAGGAGGATTGGCAACAGATGGTAGTTCAGGGCTAATCTTCCTCATCAAAAAAAAAAAAAAAGAGAGACTAAGTCAATGTTTTTTAAATAAAGTAGCCCCTAAGCGTGTTTCTTCAATTTATGAGAACAGTAATGATGATAATAACAGAGTAACGACCGTTTATCACGTAACTGCCATGTTCTAGGCTCTGTGATAGATGCTTTATAAGCATCGTCTCCTTTAATTTTTGAAAAAAACAACAAACCTTACAAGGTAGCTGTCATCACCCCAACTTATAGCTTATCAAACAGGAAATTGAGGCTCAGAAAGATAAGTATGGTCAAGTGGTCAGTATGAACCTAAAGGTACACGAATGGATCTGGACAGTTGCAAGCCCTCTCTCTGCTCGGCCCCTGGCATGGCCCCAGTCTCTGAAACCACTCTGTCTTCTGCCCATCACAGGCTTGGACGCCCCCAGCCAGATCGAGGTGAAAGATGTCACGGACACCACTGCTCTGATCACCTGGTTCAAGCCCCTGGCCGAAATCGATGGCATCGAGCTCACCTACGGGACCAAAGACGTGCCAGGCGACCGCACCACCATCGATCTCACACAGGACGAGAACCAGTACTCCATCGGGAACCTGAAGCCAGACACAGAGTACGAGGTGTCCCTCATTTCCCGCAGAGGCGACATGTCCAGCAACCCAGCCAAGGAGACCTTCACAACAGGTAATGGGCCTTCCCTTGTTAACTTGACAGGAAAGGAAGGATTGTGAGACTTCCATCCCACTCTACGTTGGCGTGCCTTCCAGGCTCATTTTACAGCAAGAAATATAGAAAGGGGATTTTCATTCCTTTAAATTTTATTTTAAAATATTGTTGCAATTGATTGATTAATTTTTCAAAGAAAAAATACCCAAAATAATCTTCTAAATCAAAACATATATCTATTTTTGCATACATAGAGGATGCTGCTCTGACATTCTCAGGCAAAAATTCTGGTTACAATAAAATTCAAATAAATATTTTAATAATAAAATACAGTATATGGAAAACACGAATGAGAAAGATGCCGCCTAACCTCTTAGCCTATGGCATTTCTTTTAGAAGTACCAAAGTGTCAATCACTCATTCAATAAATACATATATATATATACATTTCTTTTTTTTTTTTTTTTTTGGTGAGGAAGATGGTCCCTGAGCTAATATCTGTGCCAATCTTCCTCTATTTTGTATATGGGATGCCACCACAGCATGGCTTGATGAGCGATGTGTATGTCCATGCCTGGGATCCGAACCCACGAACCCCAGACTACTGAAGCAGACATGCAAACCTAACCACTAGGCAACCGGGCCGACCTCCTCAATAAATATTTTTTCAGGGCTCAGTAAGCACCATATGAGTTAGTAGAAATACAGTGATGAACACAACAGCCTAGTTCTTATACTCATGGAGATTATTTGTAAGTGTCTATATAGTTTTTCTAAGCACAAAATTGGAAGAAAATATGAATGGCTCAAGTATCACACATTAATAATAGAAAAGTGCCAAATATGTAGTATTTGTTTAGATTTGTGCATCAGCTATTGACACAGATGGGTGTGTGGGCGATTTTGTCATTTCTGTCCAATGGCAGGCACATTTCATATCTCAGTTTGAACTGTCGAAGACTCCCAGTCTCTTGGTTCCTGGTGTTTTCAATATAAATGTCCCTTCCTCTCCCAAACAGGCCTGGATGCTCCCAGGAACCTCCGCCGTGTCTCCCAGACAGACAACAGCATCACCCTGGAATGGAGGAATGGCAAGGCGGCCATTGACAATTACAGAATTAAGTACGCACCCATCTCTGGAGGGGACCACGCTGAGGTCGAAGTACCGAGGAGCCAACAAGCCACGACGAAAACCATACTCACAGGTGAGCTCCACATCCTCGATCCTCCAGAGAGAGAAAAAAGTGCAATTCCCAGCAATCCCTCTCAGTTTGACTTCAGTGAGTCAGTCTGTAGAACATTCCAGACATGGAGAAATTGTAGCCTCCAGGGACCAGCTCAGGGCCATTTTTATGGTCCTCTATAAGTCTTTCCAGTTTTAGGCTGAATCTCGACCTGCACGTTCTCTCCTAGGTCTGAGACCAGGGACTGAATATGGCATTGGAGTGTCTGCTGTGAAGGGAGACAAGGAGAGTGATCCGGCCACCATCAACGCGGCCACAGGTGAGGCGCGCCTGGGGTCCCAACCCCTCTCGGCTGGCACTGGCAGACACAACAGGGCCCAGGAGGCAGAAAACCTACTTAAAAAGAAACAGTAGACACCCAGAGGAGAAAGGGGCCACTAGGATCTGCTAGCCCAAATGTCTACATTTAAAATACCCTAAGCACACTGCATCTAAATGATGCCAACACTACTCTCTCTATGCAGGAAGGGGAGTTTTTAGGAAAAAAACAGACTTTATGAGAAATCTACACACTTTCTAAAGTTGGTAACCCATTCCATTTTTTTTTTTGATGAACCATTGACTAATCAAAACACAGCTGAGGGGTTTTCTCTTAGAAAACACCTAACTTTTCTTGTATACCTTCATCATAGAGATTATAAGTGGCAGGAGCACAGTTTAAGGCAGCCGTTAACTTTTATCCATTGATCCTGCGGCCCCAGCCTCCAGGTGAGGATGGTGAGGGGCTATATGATTAGAAGCCATTGACTCTTTCCTCAAGTTTTTTTTTTCTGGAAAATTTGTACAGAAGAAAGCTCTTCCCTCTACCCCTCCACCAGCCTCCTCCATCCCTCTCCCAGGTACTGTGTAAAAAGGAGAGGCTGGTGTGCCAAGAGGGCAAAAGTCATGCTTCATCAGGCTTCCCCATTATGCAGGATCCAGTGCTGAGCGCTTATGTACATTTTCTTTTTTATTTTTTTATTTTGAGGTCATTGTAGATTCACATGCTGTTGTGAGAAATAATACAAAGAGATCCCATAAGCCCTTCCCCCAGTGTCCCCCAGTGGTAACCACTGTGTAACTATAGAACAATATTACAATCAGGATGTTGATACAATCTATCAACTTCATTCAGATTTTACCAGTTTTACACGCACTCATTTTTGTATGTGTGTGAGTGTGTTTAGTTCAATGCAATTTTATCACCGGTAGATTTTTTGTGTGTGTGTGAGAAAGATCTGCCCCGAGCTAACACCTGCCAATCCTCCTCTTTTTGCTGAGGAAGACTGGCCCTGAGCTAACATCCATGCCCTTCTTCTTCCACTTTATATGGGATGCCGCCACAGCATGGCCTGACAAGCGGTGCATCAGTGCACGCCCAGGATCCGAACCGGCGAACCCCGCAGCGGGGCGCGCGCATCTAACCGCTTGTGCCACCGGGCCAGCCCCTAACGTGTAGATTTTTTTAATCCACCACTACATTCAAGGCACAGAATAGTTCCATCAAAGGATCCTTCTTGCTACCCATTTTTTGTAGCCAGAGGCGCCTCCCTTCCCCTTTCCCTAGCTCTTGGCAATCACTAATCTGTTCTTCATCTCTATAATGTGTTATTTTGAGAATTCTATGTAAAAGGAATCATACAGTATACAACCTTCAGAGATTGGCTTTTTTGCTCGGCATAGTTCTCTTGAGATCCATCCAAATTGTCTCTTGTATCAATAGTTACTTCCTCTTAAATGCTTTGAATTGAGTAGCATTTCACGGTATGGATATACCACTATATATATATATATATATATTTTTTTTTTTTT